AAAGATCTGTGGAGAAAAGTCACAGGAAAATAAATTTAGTTACCACACATAAAAGGTTAGATGTAAAAGAGATACCAGGATTCATCCTTCTTTTTAAAGTTATAGAGAAGTTAGGTTAGTTGCAACATGGTTTAGTTCTACTTCTCATGTAGTGGGTGGATATAACCTTTCTAATTATTCTATCTGGATCTTCTTTATTTCCCTTTCTTCAGTATTTTACCTATTCTTTGCTTTGCCTTTTGTATGCATTTCCTACCCTGACATGTGGTTTTAGATTTTTAGGCTCATGTTTTAAAGAAACTGAAGATTTCATACCCATCTTATGAAGTGAGTGTGTGTGTGTGTGTGTGTGTGTGTGTGTGTGTGCATGCAGTACATACACTATTACACGTAAAAGGCATATGAAGATTCAATTTGTTATATTCCAAAAGGAAAAAAATAATTGATGCCCAGTGTCTGTTTGTCTACCAAATGGTAATTTTTTTTGCTTTATTTTTATTTTATGTGTATGCATGTATTGCATGCATGTGTGCAAATGCACCCATATTGTGCAATGCCTTCAGCAGACAGAAGAGTCAGATCCCCTTGTACTGGAGGTACGGACAACTGTTAGCTGCCATGTGGGTGCTGGGATTCAAAACCAGGTCTTCTGCAAGAACAGTCAGCACTCTTGAATGCTGATCCATCTCTCCAGCCCTCCAAATGGCAATTTTTAAATTTTATTTTTCCATGCTGGAGATGGAATCTAGGTCCTCACGCATGCAAGACAATCCTTCTCTCACGGAGCTATGTCTATCAGCTAAGGAGTGAATTTCCTAAGGGCTGGAAGAATGCTACATTAAAAAAAACGAATAGTGATTTTTGAATAGAAATTAAGATGTCATCTTCTAAGAGTATTAAAGTACAAGATGAGATTTTTTATATGCATTGATATGTTTTCATTTTTATAGTTTTTAAATGAAGTATTCTTTATTATGTAATTTTGATCCTACTCTCTTCCTTAACCAATACTATGTATTCAGTTGAATTGCCTTGAACTTAGCATACAGCTCAGTGAGAGAGGGCTTGCCTGCCTAATCTCTGAATTTAATACCCATCATCATAAAACAAAACAAAACAGAAACGCGAATTACCTCCCTTAGTTCTCAAAGTCTTTTCAAATGAAGTAAAAATTATGAATACCCATGCCTTTTTGTATGCTTACTTTCTTTTTGTGGAATTTAACCCAGGTCCCCCTGCATTTTAGGCAAGCACTCTACCACTAAGCTGTATGTCCATCCGAATATCTATTCTTTTGGGTCAATGGTTTAGTGATTTCTAAAAATCAAAATGACTGACATTAAATTAAGGTCTCACAACTGGTCATAATTTTTTGCCCAAGAACTTCATATCTCTTTAATTTCTCTCTACTTTGTTTTTCTTCTTCCACATACTTCCATCATTCAAGAACAAGCCAAGGAATTGCTTTTGGAGTCTTCTCATTCCTGCCTTCACCAGTTTTAGCCATCTTTAAAGAAGCTCTCACAGACAATCTGCGATTTCATTATGTATTTTTAGATTATTTTTCTTTGCCAACAATTTATATTTTTGTAGCAATAGATAATTTTTATCATTATATAATAATGAGTCATTTGGTATTTCTCAAGCTTATGTGTTTGCAATCTGACTGGAGTACAAAGTTATTAAAGTCAATATAATTTTTATATATTATGCATTTTGGCATCTACTTACACTATAGGGCTAGGGCTAGATACAAACATTTCTGTATTTGTTAGTTAGTCAATGGTTCCCAAGCCATTTTTTCCTTTCCAAATGTATCTCTCTACATTCAGTGGCATTGGGATTATTTTCCTACATTTATATTTTCTTCTCAGTATCATCTCATGTGCTACTTCCAGGTATAATTTCTCTGCCTAGAGAATTGTAATGGCTTCCTTCATTGACGAAAATATTAATCCATTTTAATTACTATCATAAAATATATGAAACTGGGTACTTGACTTTTTTTTTAAAAAGGGGGGGGGCTCAGTGGTGTAGTGTGTTACGCATGTACAAGGCTCAGAATTCAATCCTCAGTACCACAAAAAAAAATTATTTAGATCATGGTTCTGGAGGTTCTAGGTCATGGATTTGGCATCATTTTGGCTATGAGGGTTCCCTTCCCTATGTTATATGACAGACAACATTTATAGGAAAGCAGTGATCAAAACAGGGTATGGCTTATTATATCATAGCAATCATTTTATGAGAACTAGCTCAAGGCTCCAAGAGACCTTTCTTAATTCTTTCCAAAGACAGCTTTCCCAGTGAACTTCATTAGGTCCTCCATTTTTCCTTTCTGATTTTTTTTTTGCTTGCTAATTTGTTTTGGTGGTGTTAGAAATTCAATCCAGAATCTACCGGGTAGGAACAATTTCATAGATTCTACATGGATTCTCTACATTGCTATACCAGAGCACAAAATTCTACCACATGAAACCTTGAGGAGATTTACTCAAAAATACCTAAAAATATACAGTATATGAAGTTGTAATTTCTGAACTTGGCAATAACTTCCCTCACGAAGTGATCTAAATTTCCCTTTTCGGTCTCACTATGCTACAACACATCATCTCTGATTCAACGAAAGGAAACCATACATACATACATACATACATACATACATACATACATACATACATATATAC